AAAAAAAAAAAAAAAAGAGTGGAGTCTTCACTTGAGGTCAGGAGTTGAGCCCAGCCTGAGCAAGAGACCTTGTCTCTACTAAAAACAGAAAAATAGCCAGGCATTTAGCAGAGTGTTGTGGCAGGCACCTGTACTCCCAGCTACTCGGGAGGCTGAGGCAAGAGGATCACTTTAGCTCAGGAGTTTGAGGTTACTGTGAGCTAGACTAGTTCCATGGCTCTCTAGCCTGGGTAACAGAGTGAGATTCTGTCTCAAAAGAAAAAAAAAAAAGAGCAAGGTCTTGATATGTTGCCCTTGCTGATGTCCTGGACTCAAGTGATCCTGGGACTACAGGTGCATGCCACTGTACCCCGCTTCTGGACTCAAGTGATCCTGGGACTACAGGTGCATGCCATCGCACCCAGCTTCTCCCCTGGTTTTGTGTAGTGCATTGCATTACACAGAACACTTTTCACTCACACAAACTTGTTTAGTATTTACAACAGTCGGGTGGGTGGAATGACTTCATTTTGTACAAATATGGAACAGGATTCTCAAGTGGAAGGTTTCACCTGAGGTCACATGTGGAACAAATGGCAGCTCAGACTCAAAAACTTGACCTTTCTCCTGTGTTACTCTACACGGAGTAGATCATTGGGAGCACAGTCCCTTTTAAGCTGTCAGTGCCTGGACGCTGTTCTCCCATTGCAGATCCTACATATGTAAGCCCTCACCACTACTAAGCAGTTTATCATTTCTTGAACAGATCTCAGTTCTGCCAAGATCTGTCAGAAAGAAATTGAGTCGTCTGACTCGGGGATGACTCAGACGTTGCCTTGTCCATCTGTGATGGGAGTGTCAGTTATTTTCTTCAGGTTTCAGAGCCATGTCTATGTGCCACATGGGTTCTTCTTAAATTAGGCTGCACTGTGATGTCTGTCTTCTGACCCCTGCACTGTGATATCTGCCCTCTGCCTGTTTGGCTGGAGGTTCTGGGGGAAGATAGGTCTAATTAATAAATGATGCTACAAATGGTGTCATAATCATCCTTTTATTTCTTTTATGCAGTTTTTTTTTTTTTTTTTTTTCCAAGGCGGTACCCTACTCCTTTGAGCCACAGGCGCCACCCCTTTTATTTCTTTTAAAGCTGAATCTTATCACTGAAGTAATGGTGAAAGTTATGTGGACAGGCACCCAGGCTTTAGGATTTCTGGGCAGACTTGGGTGAGAGGCATTATATAGGAATTTCCAGTACAGCATAAAAAATGATGTGAATATTCTTGGTATGTCATTATGATATAAAAACATAATCTTAGTTATCAGTAGTGATATATTTTTAAAATAATGAGGATACTTTATCTGTTTATTTATTTGAGACAGTGTCACACTCGGTCACACAGGCTGGAGTGCAGGGGCATGATCATAGTTCACTGCAGCCTCAAACTTCTGGGCTCAAGCAGTCCTCCCACCTCAGCCTCCTGAATAGCTAGGACTACAGTTCTGCTCATTTTGAAAAAACATTTTTGTAGCGAATGGGGTCTCACTATGCTGCTCAGGCTGATCTCAAACTCCTGGGCTCAAGGGATCCTCTTGCCGTGGCCTCCCAAAGTGCTGGGTTTACAGATTTAAGCCACTGTACCAGGGCCAGTAATGACATTTAGTGATTTGTTATGCTAGAAATAATTTTCCTTATGTCCTGAAATGCAATTCTACAGTGTGTTAATTAGTCTTTCCCTGGAGTCTCCCCATCGTGGTCCATCGTAAATACTGTTTGCAGCCTCTTCATTAAGGAAGTTGTGCTGTTTTGTTTGCATGTTAAGTTATTTTCAGTACACTACAGAATGTTGTTCCCTGTCAGTTCATAGTTAACTTTGGAAGGTAATTTTCTATTTTGGATTGGTTTTGCCTTTAAGTTTCTCCTCACAAATTGAAGTAAATCTCTTCTTTTTACTCTTAGGAGATGTTGAATGTGCATGATCATTATCAGAACATGAAACACGTCATTTCAGCTGATAAGTCACAGCCAGACAAAGCTCTCAGCTTGATAAAGGATGATTTTTTTGACAACCTTAAGAACATAGTTCTGGAGCACCAGCAGTGGCACAAGGACAGAAAGGTATGCAGTCGCTGTCGGGCGCCGCTCCTTTGCGTTGTACAGATGTTCAGATGTGGACGGGGCTGTGGAGAAGCCGCCCAGTGTAGTGGCTGCACCCTGTGAAGCTAAGATAGAGGACTTGACTTCCGTATGATGTTATTTACTTTACAGATAGACTCTGTGGATGTATTTTTGTACAGGTTTGTATCCTCTTGTTACACTACAGATTAATTAGTCTCTGTGAGCTGACATTTTGGGGGCCGTGCATGTCTTTGGACCAAATCTGCACACAGGTGTGTTTTGTTTGCACAGTGTTGATCCCAACATTGTGCTAAAAATGTGAATTAACAACATTTAAGTATTTGTGGATTTCACCTAAAATTCAGGACATCCAACTTCTCTTAGAACTCAGTCCCCCATGGGACATACTGGAATGTGTGCCATGGGGCCCTGGGGCCCTTTTGCTGAGGGGTTCTGTGCAGGCCTCTGGGTCCCCTCTGCACAGTCTTTCTCTGGGTTTCTGAAACACTGCGATGCTGTTTGTACCGCAGCAGGAGGCCTGGGTGGTGGAGCAGTGGGCTGAGGCCACTTGATCCTGGTGCCTGGCTCGAGCTTCCTCAGCCCTGTGCAGGAGGGGGTCAAGGAAATGGTCATCAGTAGGCCTGAGCAGTTGGCTGTGACCCCTGACAGTGTAACTCTGCAAGTAGATGGGGGCCTTACTTGTGCATCATGGGTCCTTACAAGACAAGCTACGGTATGGACGCTCTCACCCGGCTGGCTCAGATGACTGAGAGTAGAGCTTGGCAGACTCTGGACAAAGTCTGAGAGTGGGAGGTCCTGAATGCCAACTCAGGGGATGCCATCAACCAGCTGCTGGCTGCTAGGGCATCCACTGCCTCTATTCTGAGATTGAGTTTATCCATATGACCCCCCCACCCACCAGTCAGTCCTTAAGCTGAGGCACAGCAGTGGACACAGGCCACACTTCTAAAGTCTGAGGGGACATGAGGGGGCTGCCAACACAGGAAAGGCCAGGGTAGTTCTGGCAAGGCCAAAGCTGCTCCCATCCAGCCGTAGCTCTGACACATGATGGAGCTGCAGCAGCGTATCTGACAGGCGCTGTGCAGTGTGTCACCGTGCTCTCCAGCCTGGTTGGGGCTCCAGCACCATCCTGCCCTCCCATCCCTGCAGTGTCCCAGGACATGGGTGTGTATATGAGCGTTCACCAGAACTGCCATGCCCAGCCCAAAATACTTAATTTTAAGATATTGTTTTGAAAAGATAAACAAGGAAAGTGATAAGGAAATGACAGTCAGGGAAAAAAGAAAATAATTTTATTCCTTGACCCACATTTATTTTAATTTTAATGAGAGATAGTAAGTTTTAGACTGTTTGAATATTTGAAGTGCTACAAATAGGTTACAGAAATGACCTAAGCATTAGTGTGAAACTCTGTTAGTATTTTGATAGATGAACTCTCTTCAGTAAGCATTACTGAGGCATCTGATGATCAGAAGCAAAGGGGAGTAAACCAGTTTCTTTCCTCTCGTGTAAAGTGCATGCTGCCTTTCATTAGTTAGCAGGACGTGGGCATTTCATTGATGAATTTTAGAACATTCTGATACCTAACCCCACTTTTCATGTCAGGAGGTAAACCATGCTGCAAAAATGTGAAATGCTCTTCTATTTTTCAGTAATTAAAAGAAGTTATTTTCACTGCTGTGACATTGATTTGCACTTAATTAAATTGGAAATTTTTGTGTAGATGTATGTGTGTGTGTGTGTGTGTATATATATATATATATAAAATGACTTTTTTACTCTTTCAGAATCCATCCTTAAAAATTGATGGAGAAGAAAAGAGGGAAGGAAGTTCACAAGAATCAGAGGTCAGAAAGCTTTGCTATATGATTGCTTATGGGGCTGTAATTTGATTAGCTTTGTTTCATGTGTGGTTGTGATTCTGTCTAATAAGCACTATGATCCTTGGTTACTATTATAATAAATATAGAAAATTCTGAATTTTCATTGTTCTGTGAAATGCTAGTCTGTTCTTTACTTGAAACCTTATGAAAGACCACATCAGGCACAGGTTGGCCGTGAGGATGTTAGTAGTTTTGAGCGGGGACAGGAGAGGGTGGGGTGGAAGACGCCTTCATTTCTTAGTGGAGCAGGGTGAGGATTGGTAATGCGGCTTCTCTCAACTTGTCAGCCTTTCAGCCGTTGTGGAGCCCAGGCTGCTATTTACTGCTTCCTGCCTCCAGGGTTTTCATCTATCTGAGTGGCTGAGATAAGCAGCCATCTTTGGGCAGATGAGGAGGGAACGGCAGTAGAGGGATCTGTCTGATCACACCAGACTTTCATTCATAGTGTCCTCCTGGAATCCTGAATGAAATGATCATTGTGGGCCTGGTCATGGCACCTGCTTGTCTGGTAGAGAATATGGTTCGTGTTTATGGGTGTGCCCTCCGTGTGTGTCCAGTAAACATTGGTTCCTTTTATCCTGTCCTGCCTTCTATCTCAGACCTGACTTCTGATAACAAATACTTGGGTATTCATAATTTCACTCTAAAGTTTGTGTGTTTTAACTTTTTCTCCTTCCTGTTTATTTACTTCCAGAGATGTGAAAGGGCAGAATCATTAGCAAAAATAAAATCAAAGGCCTTTTCCATTGTCGTTCAGGTAAGTGTTTTTTTAATAAGGTGATTTGTAAATTGACTGGATGCTTTTTAAATTACATTTTAATTAGTAATACATGTACACAGATTGAAAAGTCAAACGTGACTACAGTTACGGAGCCTGACAGTACTCTGCCACTTCCCACCCTACCACGTGTTCTGAACCTTGAGGGGCAACAGCTTCAACTTTTTCTCAGCCATTTATTCTGGTTTTGACCTGGAATTTTCTTTATTATCTTCTAGCCTCTAGTATTCCTGACCCCAGAAGGTTTTAGAGTTTTTGCTTTGCTTTATCCATGGAAGTTCTGAAGTTTCGTGCTAATACAATTTGGCGTAGGTCTTTTTCATTCATTGTTTTTACCCTTTTTGTTTTTTTTGTTTTTGTTTTTGTTTTTGCAGTTTTTGGCCAGGGCAGGGTTTGAACCTGCCACCTCCAGTATATGGGGCTGGCATCCTACTCCTTTGAGCCACAGGCGCCACGCATTTTTGCCCTTTCAGTGTGGTACCCTCCGGTTCTGAGGAACTTCTGTGTTTTGAGACAGACTCTCACTTTGTCACCCTGGGTAGAGTGCCGTGGCATCACAGCTCACAGCAACCTCAAACTCTTGGGCATAAGCAATTCTTTTGCTTCAGCCTCCCAAGTAGCTGGGACTACAGGTGCCCATGACAATGCCCAACTATTATTTTTTTTGGTTGCAATTGTCGTTGTTGTTTAGCAGGCCTGGACTGGGCTCATACCTGCCAGCCTCTGTGTATGTGGCTGGTACCCTACTCACTGAGCTCCCGGGGCTGCCCTGAGGAACTCTGCATATTGTTTCTTTGATGGTGTTCTTTGCTATATTTGAATCTCTCTTTTTTTATTTTTAGGCATATTTCTTAAGCTTTATCTTCTGAACCATTTTTTTTAAAATTCTTGCTGACATTTTATCATTAGTAAGAATTTTTCTTATTCTCTGAATGGTGGTTATTTTTTTACTGTGTTTTTTTTTTTTTTGAGACGGAGTCTTAGGCTGTCACCCCATTACCCTCCCACTGCTCAGGTAGAGTACAGTGTGGTCATCATAGCTCTCTCTAACCTCAAGCTTCTGGGCTCATGTGATCCTCTTGCCTCAGCCTTCCCAGTAGCTGAGACTATAGGCTCATGACATCATGCCAGGCTAATTTTTCTATTTTTGTAGAGACAGGATTTCACTTTTGCTCAGGCTGTCTTGAACTCTTAAGCTCAAGTGATCCTCCACTTTAGCCTGCCAGAGTGTCAGCATTACATGTGTGAGCCACTGTTCTTGGCCACTCTGAATGTTTTTTGTCTTAAAAAAAATGCATTTTTCTTTTTTTATAGGGTGTAATCTCTTTTTAAGGGTATTAAGTACAGTTTTGACAGAACTTCCCATTTCCTCTGAGTTCTTTCCTGTGCCTAGATCTTTTAAAATCTTTTTCTTTCACATTGTTGGCTTTTTTTCAAATAACTGAAGATTCTCAGAAGTCTATTCCTATTTAAGAGTGATCAAGATGATGTATAGCTTTTTTAACCCCTATATCCCCTACATTTCTTTCTTTCTTTCTTTCTTTTGTGTAGCTAGTCATTTTTGCCAGAGAGCAAGCTTTCATTCTCTTTTCTGGGGGAGGAGAGTGGGAACTAAGCCCAGTTGCCAGTGTTTTGGGAGCCTACAGGGAGAATCAGCCCAGGCACTCACCACTCCTTATGTGTGTTTCACTCAACCTCCCTATTTTTGTTTCTTTAAAAAATTTTTTTAATACAATTTTGTTTGTTTTTGAGACAGAGTCTCACTCAGTCACCCTGGGGTTGAGTGCCATGGCATCACAGCTCCTAGCAACCTCCAAATCTTGGGCTCCAGCCATCCTCCTGCCTCAGCCTCCCGAGTAGCCGGGAGTACAGGTGCCGCCACGACGCCCAACTCTGTTTTCAGTAAGAGGCCCCCTCTCCTTCATCAGCTATACCAGTTCCCCTAAGCCTCCCATTTTTCTATAGAAGTTGCCTAGCTTTGAGGCTTGGGAATGGGACACTATTTCTTATATAGATTTTCAAAACATTTACCCATTTTTATTTTTTTGCTGTTTTTGGCCAGGGCTGGGTTTGAACCCACCACCTCCAGCATATGGGGCTGGCGCCCTACTCCTTTGAGCCACAGGCGCTGCCCATTTACCCA